GGTCATCCATGTTTTATTTTGTTGTGTTTCTATCCAGCATCCACTTTTCCCTTATCATGGCAATATTACCTGAGCAATAATTCCACCTTCCCTGAGTCTCAGGTCATGGGCTTCCAAGTGAAGCTGATTATACCGTGGAACTAGTGAGCATGTAACTTAGACAGAGACAGTAAGTGCAGCACATTCCCCCGGCCACAGGGATTAGTTCTAAGTAGGTCCGAAACTGCATCAGAATCTATAACGTGTAGTAAGATTTAGGCTGGGGATGGTGGGACAAAGATTCTTGGTTTACTCTGGAGACAGTCCTGGGAAATGCTGGCAGGCATCATGTGACCAGAGGAGGAAGCTGACCAAGCTGACCATGAAGAAGTAGAGTGAAGAAAGAAAGAGTCCTGCTTATTTCACTGGATTCTTCCCTGGGCCATTTCAATTCCTATTGTTCAGACAAATCAGCTAACACAGAATCCCTTTTTGTTTACCCTAGTTTGGGTTGGTTTCTTGTCAACTGTAATAATTGCACAGTTAATTAGTGGGAATCTTGACACCAGATCTTTTGAATTCTAATCTAGGCTTCTTTCTAGTCTACCATGCTGCCTCTGAAATTGATGTCTTTGTTCAGGATGGAAAAACACACATCCCTTGAGACCTCTTCAATATATCTTTTGTCTTCCTTTATAGCCTATTAAACAACCATTAGAAATGCAAATCCATCATTGAAATTCATTCCTGAGCCAGTATGCATACATGTTTGGGCATGACATTCCCTATATACTTGAAATAACAATATGGGTCAGAAGACAAGCTAGTTTGAAAACCTTCATGTTAAATAAAGTTACTTTTATTTTAGGACACACAATTCTGGATCCTTTTAAACCATGGGGACATGATATAGCACCTCACCTGGTCACCACATTCAATTATCTTAGTTGTCTGAAATTTGGAGCGCATTTTACCTAAGAAACAGTATTATACTTAATCATTTGCTTCTTAGACTAGCAAAGAAAAGCTACTTTAATCTAACATGTGGCTAAATATTTAAATACTAGAGCACAGTATTGCCACAATACTAACAATTAAAAATGTAAAAATATAAAAACTGAAGAGGATGGTTCTTAAGAAAGGAGATCTGCTGGCAGAACGTGGGAAGGTAAATGAAAGTGTGGGGTCTTTCCAAAGGGGCTCTGGAGGCTTGGCCAAGGGCCATAGGCATCGATGATTTGGGTTATTACAGCGGTCCCCAACCTTTTTGGCAACAGGGACCGTTTTCATGGAAGACAATTTTTCCACGGAGAGAGGGGGGATGGTTTCAGGATGATTCAAGTGCATTCCATTTATTGTGCACTTTATTTCTATTATTATTAAATTGTAATATATAATGAAATAATTATACAACTCACCATAGGTTGGGGACCCCTGCTTTATTATACCTAATTTCACATCAAAATGTATAACTTTTCTTTCCATGTTATAAGAATTGCTCTATCACTATTCTTAAACTTCAAAACCACACAAAGATGGAACTAAGAAAGGGAAAATACAAAAGAGGTTTCCATCTGTTCTTTGAATCCACACTTCAAGTGCATAGACTCTGCTTTCAGAAGTTACTATCTAGAAAGGCAAATATACATGTAAACCCAATGCTCTGCTGGAAGGGAATTGACGGAAGTATTTACAGGGGTGGAATAGCAACTCAGCCTGAGTGCTGGCAATTCCTGGTGAAAGACCAGTTGAAAGACTCCATTAGGCAGAACCAGAAGCTGGGAGGGCAACCCAGGAGGTGTGAAGTAAGTTTGTGCAAAGGCACGGAGGCACTGCCCCAGAGAGTTGTGTCAGGATGCCATACATGATTTAGTGTGAAGAGAAAGAGAAGTGGACAGACAAATGTCTGAACTTTTAGTCTGAAAGTCATGGAAAACCTTCAAATGACATTTAAATAGGGCTTTCCAAAGGGAACTAGAAAGTGGTTGGAAGAGGGAGAGTGGAGATGGGATACCACAAAGAGAGGAAATACGCGTGTGTCAGTAGATATGTAAAGAGATTATTGTGTGTGCCGTAAGCTAAGTTTAAGAAAAGCAAGTGAACAAGTGAGAATAAGTGAAGAGAGCAGTACGTGGAAAACTGTGCAAGAGGGAGCAAGTGGTTAGCACCAGACAGTGCTGGTGGGCAGTCCAGACCCAGGACATCATAGGTGCATGCCACTCAGGAGAGCCCTGGAAGGGGATCGTGGGGTCCGAATGCACCAGGTGGAAGAAAGAGCCTGTAAATTTGAATGTGTGGACTCTTGGAAGTCAGATGTTCTTACTTAGGATTATCTTTATTTTAAATTGGAAGTCATTGGGGTCACTCTATCCAATACCAAAATTGCCAAAGCTGGGAGCACAACAAGATTTCACTTAGAATGGCTAATGTCTCATTTCTAGAAAGGAAGAGATCTCGCCATGGCACGAAACACATCTTATTAGTAAGACATTATTAAGATATGGGTAGAAGGGTAGGAAAGGCACTCCTAGTAATAATTACGTATTGACCCGAGGAAACACTGAATAGCCTGTTGCAAATGTTCCCCAGCCTTATGTTCAGTGGCGTGAACATTCATCCTTAGAGTCTTCATTTTAATGGAAAACTATATGAATGGTGGTGCTGAAAGCAGAAAGGCCAAACTTTTCCTGGTTGTAGCTGCACGATTCTTTCCCAAGCTCATTTGCGCTTTAGTGGTTTTGCTTTGCTTGGCCTTTTACAACTTGGCAACTCAGGAAGGAAAAGTGAGGGAATCAGCAGATTTCTTAAAATTTTTACTCCAAATGTTCCTTTAATGCTAGTATTTCTTGGGCAGGAATTCCTGAAGTCCTAATTAATTGTTCTTGGTGTTTCTTTTAAAGCCTCCTTTAGCTTTTGTGAATCCACCCGTGGCTTTTGCTTTTAATTTGCACTCACTGATATTTTCTTTTAATGCAGGAAAGGCACTTCTCTATGGCCAGGTGAAACATAGGAGTATTCAGAGACTCACACTTGAAAGTTGCCGAATTCAGTGACAACTTTGGGGTAGCAGCCTTAAGAAATGTCAACTGGCAGAAAGAAATGAAAAAGAGTAGTGCAGCTCTGTGGTTTCCTACTCCCTTCTGTGAGATCTGACTTTTAAAAATCCTTTGTTACTTCACAGTACATTTTCAACTGCATTTCAAGTAATTAACACTCAGAATAGAATCCTTTTGTCACATTTAATTATCAGATATCTACTTTCCTTTGGGATATCTGACAGTTGCCCAAATGTTGGTCTTATTCTAAAACCAAGAAGAGACCTCTGACATAGTCACCAAAGTGGCGTTTATTAAATATAAATGGTAAGTGTCTAAAGAAGAGGTGAGAAAAGAGCACTGGCTCTCATCCCAAAAAGAAAATCCTCTCAGCACAAAGGGAAATTACATTGGCTCTTAGCTGAAGCTCCATCAGTTTTATTTGTCATGCGATGATTTAAAGATGTGTGCATTTCTATACAGCTTTACGTTTCCATTGAGAAATAAAAAGAGTGTTCTGACCCTCAAGTTTTAGCTCCAATCTGCCAAACTCACTATAAATACAAGGGTTTCTATGAGTCTATTATCTGGAGAGTGACTTGTATAAGGAAAAAAATTAAATGATACTGATTTGAAATGAACAAAGCTCATTTATGTGCATTTTAGGAACCCTAAGTGAATCAGCTAAATATATGCACTAAGGAAAAAAAAAATGTTACCCTCTGGGTAGTACCTTGTAATAAGCTAGAAATGTGAAACCCATTAATAGTATTAGAAATTAGATGCCTAATGAATTGTGCCCATTATTGGAGATTTTCTGTGATAACAATTCTTTAAAAGCTAGAAATCGCCTGTATCTCTATGGCATAAGAGAAATGATACTATTAAAGCCATAAGAAATTATCTCCAAGTGAAAGCATATGTCACATAGTTAAAGAAACATAGGCCAAGTTCTGGTACTTACTATGTAAGGACTATGGCCACTGCATCGTTCAGCACACTCTCCCCAAACAAGAGTGTGTACAGGTCAGGGTCGACGTGCAGTTCATGGAAAATAGCCAGCACCGTCACTGGGAAGACACACACAAATATGTGGAGTTAGCTGGGACACAGGCATGGAGTTTTCCTTGGCTGTGGTCACCTGTAAGAAGCATTCATTAAATGCTGATGCTCTCAATCTGTCCTCTATACTCTAACATCAAAGCTTTATTCAAAAATGTCTGATCATGTCACTCCCCTGCTTAGAGATTTTTTGGGCTCATCACTGCTTACAGAGGAAATTTGAGCTCTTTGGTACAAGTGCTCTGCAACCTATACCCTGTTTGTCTTCCAGCAACATCCCCTTGCACCCCTGGCCTACCCTTTGCTGCCTCCCTCAAACCATACTGAACTTGCCATAATTTCCCAAACACACCATGTAATTTCTTAACTACTTTGCATTTTGATTCCCTCTACCAGGAACGAAATTCCATTTTACCCACCTGCTACCATCCCCCCATTCCTTAAATATACAGACACACACACACTTCTTGTTACCAAAGACCCCTTTTTTCAGTCTTTCAGAACCTCTCAAGTGTTCCCCTCCCAACCTTTCAACATCTTCAGCAGAGATCTGCCTCACTCCTTTATGGATTCCAGCATTCGGATGAAATCATAGAACTGATCACAGAAGGGACTGAGCTCCCTGGGGATGGGACCCATCTTTGTAACGCATGATATTTACCAAACTCCACAACTGCTCGATGCATGAATGACTAAGAAAATGAGTGAAAGAATAAACAAAGGCTGTTGTAGTGGCCTACTCCTGTGAAGGGAGAGGTAACCAAACCTAGCTCTCATTCGCTCCTGAGATCACAGTCGTCTATAAAGATGGACTCGATGCTCCTAAGAGCAGGACCTAAGGACTTGTTTCTGGTGGCCTGCTGCAGGGTTACAAGTATGCCATGTACTTGCATTGGGCCTCTGAGTAGATCAGGACAGTGAATAATCACACACTATCTATGCTCATCAAAACTATTCAGTGCCTTGATATTTGACAGCTATGCAAAGTGTGAATAGCAATTATTAGGAAAATGATCCATTGAATTGATTGCCAAGGGGGAAAGAGAGTGGTTGAAAATGATACTGATAGTAAATTTTTAAGGCAGAGTAGGTATTTTAATTCTGTTCTTTCCTTTCCTATTTCATGGACAGTGAGGCTAGTAACTATGTTATAAGAAAGAGTGCTATGGGAAAAAAAAGAAAGAGAAGTAGCTGAGTTTGAAAGTTCTGACAGAAGCTTGTCCTGTCACAATAGGAAGTCAAGGCAGGGTTTTAATAAGAGAGATGATGCAGTCTGATTTGAACTTTGGAAACAAAGCACGGGCATCCAGGCAAAGGGCAGAATGGACACAGGGCTGGAGGCTTTCCCACTAATTCCAGCTAGAGAGGGGTTGTACCAGGACAGGGAGAGGCCAGGATAAGGCCTCCAGACTCCTGCGTGTCCTGCTTTGCCCTACGCATCCCCCGCCCAGGGTTCTAGGAGAGCAGTGGCCACAGGGCTTTGCACTTCACGAGCTGTCACACAGTGCTGCCACATAGTTAATGTTGGTGAGGACAGAGCAGAGGAGACAACACCCTCGAGCTATCTGGGGTGGAGAATTGGTGGGTCTTGGAGCCTGAGAGAGAGCAAGGAAGGACTCTGGATTTCCACCCGTTGTATGTCATGTGACCATGTTTAATAACAATGTATCATACACTTGAAAATTGCTGAGAGGGTAGATTTTAAGTGCTCTCATTACAAATAAATGATAAGCATATGGGGTAATGCATTTGTTAATTAGCTTAATTTAGCTATTCCGCAAGGTATACATATTTCAAAACATCATGTCGTACGCCATAAATATATATACATAAATTTTATTTGTCAATAAAATAATTTTTTAAAAATAAGCTTCTGCAACAATCCAAAAGAAAAAAAGAAGAAAACAAAAGAAGAAATGAAATGTCATCAATTGACATGACAATTGGCCAGATCCCACTATGCCCACTAAGGCATGGTATCGATTTCCTCATTCTAGCTAAATAGGTCCTATATTAATCATAACAGGTGAAATGGCAGAGATCTGCTCTCTACTTGCATGTAGCTGTTCACATCTGCCACAACCCTTAGCCTTTGCAGGTGCTGGGAGGGGGGTGAACAAGCACTTCTGCTAAGTAATCTCTTTCTCCTTTTTGGATAGAGTCAATACCCTGCATCTAAACAAAACAAAGATGTTCCAACTGGGGGGTTTAGTTAACAACATTTTCCTTTTGTTTGGATCTTGTTGAATAAAACTGAAGTTATTCTTTACTAAAAAATTCTATCATGGCAGCTCTGTTGTTGATCTTTGTCTCGGTAGCTGCTATTTGTATTGTCAAGCTCTGAAAATGACTTGCAGCTCATCTCCATTCCTGGGGTTTCCTAGGCTCATAAATAGGGATGGAAGGCCCTGAGTTCCTTTCCACATCTAGGGAGTCCACTCTGCCCTTGGTATTTTTCCAATGAGAACTTTGAGCCTTTGAGAGGAAAGGCTTTTAATTGAATATCCAGTTTTGTTCAGAACTGCTCTGACATTCCCATGATTCCTTTTGAACAAAGAACTGAACTCCATTTCATAAATGATATCCTACACAAAAGAGAAAGCTATTGCTTTGTGCATTCCTATCTACTCTGTGAAGAAATGGAACAGCTTTGAAATAAAGCCAAGCAGTGTGTCCTACAAAAGGGAGTATTTTGCTGGGACCACAAATGAGTCGAATAGGTGAGTCAGGAAATTAGCCACCCACTCTGCTGCTGAGCTTGGAGCTTTTAAAAAACTCATTTAATTAGCTCACTACTAGGGCTCAATCTCACACACACAATGTCCAAGACTCTTCGCGGCACCTGCCCAGGAGAGAGTCTTTGGGACAGCTGTGGACATGCTCAAACCAGTTCTGCTCACACCTTGCTAGCTTTGAAAGGACAACCCCAGCCTGAGGCTGGGCTCAAAGGCAGCGCCCATTTAGATGAATCTTCTTGCGACTATACAAAAAGAACATTCTAGACACTATGTGGATAGGAAAGATAGAAGACACAATCTGATTTCTTAAACCTGTGATATTTATCAGGGGATTTGGTTATTTTTGCCATTATCCTACTTTAGTTACATTCATCCTTTAGGGGCAGGTTTCCATGCTTCACTTGAGGCTTGCAGTTCCTTCTCCTCTACACACCCTCTTCCTACCTGACATCTTAGCCAGAGAAAAGTCCACTTTGTCGCTCAAATTGGTAATAAGGGATACAAACCTGTATGATCTTATAGTCAAATAGATGAACACACACACACACACACACACCTGCCTCTAAGGGTCAGGGTAGTGTAGGAGTATGATAATTGAGAAAGGCCACTGATTCCTCAAGTATCTTTGAAGAGGCAGCTTCAACAGTTTAAATAGCAAGGGGCTATGTGGGGAACGAGTGGGGAGTCAGCAGTGTACCCTGCTCTAATGAGGAGCTGGCATCATGGATGGAGAGAGGAAAAGCCATAGCCTATGAGGTATAAAGCTGAGAGAGGATTTTTTATAGACATCTGATTTACAGGTTGAGCAGAATAAGCCAGAGGAAAGAGAGGTTGAAGACAGAGAAAAAAGAAGAGAACACTGCCCGAGCAAGGTCTGGAGAAGGCGGAGGACAACCGAGGGCAGAAGGGGAGTGTGTCTTCTCAGTAAAGCCAGATCACCTGCCCAGAGTCAGGGGAGCCATGCCCCAGTTAGAGGGTAGAGGGAGGTGGGAAATGTGCAGATCATCTGCGGGTAGGGGAGGGGGGATGAATTCAAGTTTCCCGATGAACTGTTAAGGTCAAATATAGGATAATTGTCAGTCTGCAAAAGAAACCCTAACATTAAAATAATATATTTTGATTAATTTCTTCATCATATCAAGAATCTTGTCCCCTACAACAACCCTATTATAACATCAAAATTAATCTTTCTCATCTCAAAAATAATAACCATACCTGGAGATTAAAAAAAAAAGCTAAAAACAGACAATAACTGCCTGATCCCATCCGTATTTCAATGTGTTGACTCTTAAAAGATGTTTCCCTTTTTTTAAAACTGTCATCTCTTCAACTGACCACTTTCTTCATTCTCTTTCAGTAACTTCTAAGTCTTTAGGGTGATTTAGTGACAGCCTCTTCCCTAGAATCTTCATTAGCAGCTCTCTGACCCATATTTTCTTAGTGTTTTATAAGGAATTTAAATTTCAAGTGATATTTTTTAATGTCGCAGCTCTCAGTAACCTAGCGTACAACGTGCCTGGGTTGAAGGACAACAAAATACAATAGTTCCTACCCCTGTCATTCTGAGCTGTCACTCAGCCTTGTCAAAGTGCTGGCTTTCCTGGAGAGTGTTCTCCGTGGTTTCCTGTGCAAATCAGTGTGTATGATACTTGTCCGTGACACAGGGAGAATCAAAAATGTCTCAGGCGTCTGCAGCTGAATCCATGTCAGGCCTGACAGGAGGAGAACCTTGTTATTCCCATAAATGAGGTAGCATTTTTCCATTTCTGAAAATGATTATTGTGAAATGTATCTTCTTTTTCTCAAAGGGAGAATGGAGGAAGAAATTCTCCTGTAACTTTTCCCACTTTCCTGAAATACTGTATGTAGTTAAGGAGAGGCTTCCAAAAATGTTGCGGTATCCAGGTATGGGCTGGAATACTGGAATTGTTTTGAGCCTATACCTTCTCAGTGAAGACTTGGCAGCAGAATCAGTGCATAGATTCGATTTGCCAGTCAAGCTCTGCCAATCGTAATCCTAGAAATGCAACTAAAAAACCTAACCCTCTGAACTAGGTCAGAGAAACAATGCCAGATCTATTATAGAAGCTAATCAGTAGATGTTACTTCGTTGAGGTCATTCTAAATTAAAAGTTATACATACCATCATGAATGATTTAGCCCTAAAACATGGCAATTTGTTTTGCTTGTCAATATGAGATATCATTTTTGTACCTGAATTACTAGTGGAGAAAATATAAGCAAGCACACTATTGCAGTCCTTCTCAAAC